TATTTTCAGTTTTTTGCATTTTTTATTTAAATCAATAAGACCATAATAGTTATATTGCATGCATTGCCGCCTCTGTATTACTGTTAGTCCTCCCGAATAAATAATCACAAATGCAGCAATGTTCAAATATTGATCACCCGTGAGGAAACAGGACACCGTTCTCACAAACGCATTTCCAGACAAAGCTGGTTTCTGTTTACACGGAGCCACCTTTTCAAATTGGACTCATTTTACATCAATGAGTGAGTCATGTTCAGAGCCTCCCTTTGCTGAAAAGACAACCCAATACTCTCAACTCTATCAGTCAGCTATGTGAGCAGCGTGGCTGATGATCAGGCGACCACATTGTTCACCTTTGTAATCCCAAATGCCTGATACAGCCCTCAAAGCACTGTTAAGGGAGGGAAGGGAATGTTCAGTTAAAATATCATCATGTGGCTTTAATAGTTGGAAGAGAGAGATGTAATGGAGGGTCTGCCATGCTACATAAAGGCAGGGGGCATTGCAACAGCATAAGCAAAGCAAGCACTCGCCTAGGGCCCCCAGCTGAGAGAGGGGCCCCAGAGAACAGCTGATTCACAGTATTGACAATTTTGTTCAGACCACTTAAGATGTATAATCTACCCAAAATGACACCATGATTTAGAAACCCCAAAAAGGCAAATTTATCCTGCTTTTACAAACAAAAAAGAGATTTGACGCATCCGTACACTTCCGTGCATTCTTTATGCTGGCGGTTGTTAAGCAACATATTCACTGGAGGGGATTGTAGGGTAGAGAGTTTCTGACAACAACAAACATGATGACAGTGAATGTTTGTAAAAATGTCACTCTTAAACCTGATGCATAAGGGGCCGCCTTGTAAATCGCGGTGGACCAACTTGCCAACTCGTAAAGTCTCTTCTCAAAAAGTTCTGCAGTTGTTAAAATCTCTTCCTCATATTTTAAACCCCCATGATTTCTGGTGGTACTAGTCTGTTTAGTCAATTTCATCCATATCCAAAAGCTTTTGTGTACAAATACAGATGAACAGACACAGGGTTCCGTCTCTACGTATCCACTGTTCAGCCCCATGCTGCTATCTTCCTGCCAAAAGCCTTGTGATCTTAGAGTTTTTGTTTAAGACTAGATTGTCATATATCTTGTGTTTCTTTGGAGGAGGGACCGGTTTGCGTCAATCGGGTCTTCTGGGTCCTTTTCGTCTCGGGCCTCCAAAGTCCCTTGTAATACTACAAGTGATACAGTTTCTCAAAGAATTTCTTTTCAACAACAAATGGTGGGGGGGAACCTACTTCTCTTCTCCATTTACATCTCATTCTAAAGAATGCTCACGGCCTGACAGAGAACTAGTTGGATAACAGCCTCGCTGTCCACTGTTCCATTTCAATTCTGCCTCATCTAATCCCAAGCATTTGAATTCAGAAACACTTTCCTGGAGCATTTCGGCATCACTGTAGACACGCTGAGCTGTCAAATCAGCTGCTTCTTTCCCTCTCATCCAGCATCCCTGACTATTAAATTACACAGCATAAGAAGAGTTGGCTCAATGAATGCCCTCGCAATCACGACACAGGCAACCGAAAGCAAATGACAGACTTTCAGTCAAAGTGAATGTTACCTCTACTTTATCTTGCCTCCTAAGTGGATAATACAACCAGTGATATTAATCTTTAAATGTGTCTCAGCCCTGAGCCTCTGATGCGGCGACGTTTTGCAGTTTTACCTTGAGAGGAGGCTGTTGGATCATTCTCAGTTTCAATCCTCAGGTGTGTCATTTCTTTAAAAAAAAAAAAAAAAGGACCCGACCAAAGATACATTTGCAAATTTCATGTTTAGACGCAACACACATAGTGTTACACAAACGTACACATAGCATATTTATTTTTGCTTTTGCACAAACATGCAATCATCCGATCGCGCCTACACATACACATCTCTGATGTGACACTCAGCCCAGATGGACTGAAAACCTCAGAGGCAACACAATATCTTGTCTCAGGGATATGGCACAGGTGGACCACAATTTGTTTTTCGCATTTGATCTAGATTGCAATTTTGCCGTCTTCAGCAACTGCTCGTCTGTCAGAGTGTTTGTCTTTCCTCTTGTTGTGACAGATGAGTCGTATCACGTATCTGGTTATGTAAGGTCTCTGATTTCAATTTACCTACTAAACGCCATGCAAATACAGCTCTACAGTGCATCCTCTCGGCATTAGTAGGAGTCTTACAGAGTGTGGGAAAGATCAACAATCATAAAGTTTCTTATCATGCAGCAGGTGAGGTGTGAGGCTTCCTTGTATAAATTGCCTTGATCCTGAGGAAACATCATCATTATGTCCACAGCTTTATTTGCACCCATGAAGAGCCACCTCACCTGACGGAGTGGTTCTTGACTCTAACTCGTTCAACCTGTCGAGCGAGTTGGAAATACTTTCCTATCCACCAAGACAACAATGTCTGTATGAGTCAGTACTTCTCGCTCCCAAGGTGGGGTTGGATTTCTCTTGAGTGTGGCCTCTTTTTAGTCTACTTCTTCCCAGCACTGCTTTCCTTTCTTCTTCTGTCTCTCTACTTTCAACCCCGACTTTCTCCCCCTTTTTCAAGGTTGCACACTTCAGCCAGAGGAGTAAAGCGCAGGCAATCCATGTTTGGTTTTGTTCACATCGCTCCAAGTTATCTGTCTTAACAAATCTCTTTCCTTTTGTGTGTGAGTCAGCCAGAGCTCAGCTCTTCCCCCCTGACGTACAACATCCTCTCCAGGTTGTGTGATAGAAGAGGAACAGAACTAACGATGTTCTTGCACTCTTAGTGTCTCATTTTTCTCAAATTCCAGATTCTTCTCATGTGAAATCAAGCTGAAATTCACTTCCACTAAATCTAATTTATTTCATCTAATAATTCATGTACAAATACACACAGAGATGAATCAACTTACTTGTGTTACAGGGAAGCCGCGTAAAAAGACGCTTCCCGACGACAACGTGAGTCGTGTCCCAGCAGGCTTTGTTGAGTCGATGCTAAGTGACTTGAGTGTTACCTGAGTATTTTGAGGCTGGTGACTCTGAGGCGTGGACCGACCGGAGGGGAGGGTGGGGCTTCACCTACAGACACTAAAATGCTCTCGCACACTTGTAATTCCAGCCTGTTCTGCATGATCAAACCGCAGGGTGTGGAAACAGCTTTACAGAAAACTGGACGCAGCGATTGGAAAATGATGCAATGATAATAGTTAGACTAGAGGTGGCTATAACCTGAGAGATACCAGATTTGCATGGTGTTGTTTATAATGTGAAACTGATGCCAATCAGCAAAGTGTAATCTGTTGGTGTGAGCACATGAATATGTTGGTTTTCAGGCATTTAACCTTTAGATCCCACTTATTATCTGCTTCATCATTTTACTGCCCCTGAGCACTGGGATGACTTTACATCCACAAAATTAAAACTGTGGATTTCAGCTGCCCCTTCTTAACTTATTCAAAATGAAAGTGTGATAAGAATCTGAATAGTTTTGAATCGAAAGTAAAAGAAAATACAGTGGAAAATTTCAATTTTGGAGGTTTTAAGGGAACCATGCTGACGTATGTTAACACACATCAAAGGTTTTCCCAGTGGCACAAAATTAAATTCCAAATTGTCAGTCACTTCCTCAGCCAAACACCTACACCCACACACACCCACACACGACCACACCCACACATAATGAAACCAAACGAACATTCACATGACAGGATCTCTTCAAGAAAGAGTATAATAGATGTGCCGTCACAACAAACAATTACAGGGGGGGATTTCTCTGAAAAGCCACAGAGCTCATTGTTGGTTTTTCATTGTATGTTTGTTGGATTTTTTTCCTTTAGTTTCCAAGTGATGTGAATGAATTTAGAAAATGCATTAAATGGGAGCGAATAGGCCAATAAACATATATACACATGTGTATATTAAGAGCACATACAGGAATGTACTTGATGGGGAAGATGGATACTAGTATTGAAAAATTGATTGATTGAATGATTGTTCTTTGGTTTTCTAGGTTTTTGCATTGTTATCATGTAAAGCAGATTAAATGAGCAACACAGTAATTTCAGTTAGGGTGTGACAAAGTTCAACCAGACTTCCCAACGAGCCACAAAACAGGTTTCCTCATTAGGTTCCAGCATTTACATAACACCAGTGAGTCTCTCAAAAAGATTGCACCTGGCTGAATATAGTTCAATATTATACTGTGTTGCATTGAGATGAAGCAGACATGCAGGGGGGGGGATCACACAGACAGACAGATTAATGCCTTTATATAAAGGATATGTTATGACCTCCATTGGCCTCTAGGGAATGCTAATGCTCCATCATTTTGCTGCGGTTTATTTCTGTTGAGCAGAGAGGGCGAGAGGGAGAGATGTTTAGTAGACAGAAAAATGGAGGATCTCATCTCGCCTGTTAAAAAAGCAGCCGCAGCATCATCCGTGAAGGGAAAAAAAGGCAGCATCCAAGACAAAGCAACAGAATTGGGCGTCATCACTGGTTTTAATTGCGTGCAAACAAAGCTTTTCCACATTATTTAATCGTATCGTCCAACACATTTATTATTTAAAGCAGCAGCAGTGTTTTGGTGGGATTTAAGAAATGATATTTGCATATCAAAGCTATAGCTGCAAGACCACTTGTAGCATTTCCTTAATACTCCCTCCCACTTCAGCACACTGGGTGTACATGCACATGCTCAGCCTATCAGAGTGAGCCCATCCACATCCACCAAGTGCTAAGTTGCTCGGCGAGTTTTTTAGGGGGTTGAGTCTGAACATGGGTTTTATTGTTAAAATCGCCCTCTAATCCGACTGGTTTCAGTGCTGTTTTCGCAATGTGTGGTATGTCAGCACTCATTTGTCATCATCATCGTGCAGATGGTTATCACCAGGAAAAATGTTATTTGGTCGCTCTGACAAAGGTAAAATGGACTGGTGGAGCCACATTAGCACAAAAATATGCTTGGACTTGAATGTTATTGTCTCTTCAAACGTCTCTTAGTTATATTATCTCTCTCTCTCTCTCTCCCATATATATATATATACATACAGCAAGGTCAAGCTCACAAACAACAGAACAGAGAAGTATTTCCAGTCGCTGCAGCAGAGCTTAACACCACCACTGCTTAAACTCCCTATAATGTGGTGGCAGAGGAAAAAGAAAGCTGATTCATTCCTGACCTTAGATGAACCCTCAGTAACGAAATCAGCTCCCACACATTGCCAAGACTTTAAATTTCCTGAATGGCTACACTCCTCATTCTCTGACTCACCTGTCTGAATACAGAAAGGATCAATTTTCTTAAATTAATTCTAAAAGTTTTGGAGACTAAGTCCTAGGTTTTTCCCTTTTTTACCCTGAAAGGAGAGGGATTCAGACACCTTTCTACTAGAGGGTATCTGAAGAAGACTGGAAGCTCATGTGAGTCACAGGGGCAGGTGACTCAGTGCCAACCATTCAAGAGAGGCCTGCTGGATAATGAAGGTTCACAAGGGTTCTTACAGGAGCTGGAGAGTGAAGAGGCTGCTCGCGCTGTGGGGTAGAGGAATATATCCCCGGATGTTTTCTTCCTGAGCAGCAGAAACCTTTTCAGGTGAATCAACCTTTCTGCAAATCCCCTCTTGAAAGTGTAGACGTCGCAGAAACAAGAAACAAAACAAGCAGGTGTTACCACTCTTCCTCTGGAAAGCACAATCTAACCAAATCTCTTCAAATGGTGGCATCTCTGCACCCTGGATAGTTTCTACAATGACCTGCTGGCAGTTCTAGATTCTTGTTACTTGATGCAAGTGAGTTGCAAAGCCCCATTAATATGTGCAATAAAAACAAAGTGGGGAATCAAAGAGAATGAATTTAAAAGAATATCAGAAATTACGAATCCCTCAAAACATTTAAAGGGTTTGTCTCTTACAACGAACAGCACAAAAGCATTTGTAGAAAATATGGTGTTATTAATGTAAACGGTTGCACAGCTTTTCACGTCAGGTCAGAGCTGTGTTTGACACCGAACATCCCAGCACTGCTGACACAGTCATCCCTACTACAGTCTTGTGTCCTGTCTCTCTGATAATCCTCAACAAACCGCCCTCCCACCATTCGCCGCTCCACCTTCTCCCATTTCCATCCCCAGCCCGCCCCCCCCACCACCCTTCCTGTTACTGTCACAGCCATTGCTCCGGCGCGGGTCACTCCCCATGGCGTGTCAGAGCTGGTGACACCAAGCCAGTACCTCCTCCCTCGTCGCGTGTTGTGACAGCATCATGTCTCTGCCGCCACCATGAATGATGTCAGGATGCCCCCTGGAGGAGGTCATCTTCTCCTTTTCTCCCTCTCTCCCCCCGTGTCTTTCTCCGTCCATTACGCAGACTCCGCGGGATGCTGGTCTGCAGACAGGAGGGAAGAGTTTGTCAAACTGTCGCCAGAGATGAGAAAACACAAAACTGTCTCTGTGCTGATTTATGACTGATTGGTTGAGCATGTGCACACATATCTTCATAACGCTGAAGCTTCTAAATGAGTGGCAAAGCTCCATTAGTGATATGTGAAATAAAACCAAGTGACTAGTTTACTATCTGTATGGGGGAACAATTTATGGTGAATCAAAGACACAAAAACAAGTCACTGTCTTCTTTCTCGTCTCTCTCCGTCCACTAGATGCTGGTCTGTTGAAAGAAAGGTTCATCAAACTGTTGGGGTGGATTTTAGGCATTTTGGGGAAATAACACAAAACTGACTGAGCTGATTAAAGCTGAGAGCCGCTGATAACTGCCAATAAAATAACCATTAGTTATAGTTAACGTGTTCTACACTACAGTCGGGTTCTTCATGAAATGCACAAATGTATGATTTGTTGATCGACTCCATATTTTCCATGCTACCACTGGGATGAGTTGATTATGTTTCTGGTTAAGGTGAACATGTTATTTGTTCAGCTGCATAACCACACTTCACCAAACCCTCTAAATGTTTGAACCTTATTACTGTGTTCATGCATTCTGGTGTATTTTATGGAGAATGCAACCACACCAGTCTCTAAAGTCCGAACAGCAGCTTTTCTCTTAAAGTAAAGTTAAAGCAAAAAGTTTGAAACTATGAGAAATAAAGGTTTAATCCACCCGCTGTAGACGGTCCAAGTTTTTCTGCAGCAACCAAACTGTCCATTGCAATTTAAGAAGTTGAACTCAGACACAACCAAGGCTGCTCTTTACCATTGAAGTCTTTTTCCTGGGACATGTCGCTTAAACCTTTAATATTGCATCATGTATAGTGCCTGCAGACACTTGTTAAACCCATGAAAAGAAAGCTGGAGAAGGAGTTTGTAAATAAATAAAGTTTTAGTGCTGTGTACTTACTTCTCTGTCACATGTTTCAAAAATTATCACAAATTATCCTCAGCGGATGGATGCAGATTTAATTTTGATTCTGGATATTCACAGTGGCTGAATCCCCATGTCCCCCCCATAAAGACTCATGCCTATGAAGTTAAAGGCTAGAATTTCTTAAAAACCTTGCTTTCCTTTTACTCCGTGTCTCTCTTCCTCTGTTCCACTTTGGAGTCCTACATATAACCTAAACTGATTTGTCTTTGTGGAAATTGATTGAGGTGAAGAGTGAATCCCTTTAAACTTTAATTTCTTGGGCCTGTGCGGAAGTAGTTGATGTGGACTGGTGTCATCTATCATTGCAAAATGATCTACTGCAAATACAATAACACTTGTGCAAGTTCTGTGTTGTGGTTGAAAAGCTTCTGCCTCTTTGAGCAGGTCAGAATTTGCTATTCCAGAGAGCAACTGTTCCTTTTTGTATGTGGGTCTGGCAGTGATTGTGGTTTGGAGGAGCAGTGAACTGCATGTGAAACTATGCTACATTGTTTTGTTCTCTGCTGGGGCAGAACATTTGGCTTTTTGTGACTAAGCAGTCTGTGATGTCTGTTCTATCAATAATTGGAGGAGTATTAATTGGATGTTCGCGAAATAATTGTTGACCTTGTTAATGTGCGTTCAGCAA